GGAGTGGTTAGAAGAGGAAGGTGGACATGATTAAGAACAAGAACACCTCTAAAGGAAGGTCATGGACATGCAGACAGGGGCCACCAGTGCTGGAGGTCCTTGGAAGGGCAACAGAAGGCAAGCTTTGCAGGATCGCAAGGATCAGGTGAGTAGAAAGGGCAGGAAGGTCAACCTCTGATGAGCACATACTATAGATAAGGGCCTGGAGGGTCAAGCTGTGCCAGGCTTATGATTCCTGACCACACTACGAGGTGAGGATGATAGTCTTCACTGGTGAAAGAGAATGGGGGAATTGATGGACAACTTGCTCCAAGCAACACAGATAGAAACTAGTGGTACTAAGATGTGACTTTACATTTCATACTCTTTCCATAGCCCACTTCCCTCTCATTGTCATGAGTAGTTTGTGCGAGGCCCATGGTCTGTCTCACCAGGTCCTACTGACATTACTTTTGCCTCTTGCAGCTACTCCCAGTGTTCACTATATGTCACTTGCTTGATGCTCTCCCCTGAAATATATGCATATATGCAACAGCATCTTAATCATTCACTTTTCTTGCTTTCTACTACATGATATACATGCTCAACCATTTATATGCAGTCACTGCACAACCTGATGGCCTCCATTGCATTTGTATACATGAACTTCACATCTCCCTCTGTAGCCCAGGCTGGCCTTGAACTGAGGTCTCTCTCAGCCTCCCAAGTGCTGTTCTAGTTGCATTTCTGCTGTTGTATAAATACCAGGTCTAAAAGCAATTTGGTGAGGAAGGGATTCATTTGGCTTACACTTCCAAGTCACAATCTACCATTGAGGGAATGCAGGGCAGGAACTGGAGAGGAGAGCCGCTCACTGGCTCGTGCTAAGTCAGCTTTCTCCTACAGTCCAGGCCACCTTTGTAGGGACGGTGCTGCCAGCATTGGGTGGGCATTCCCACACCAAGCACGACTATCCCTCACAGAAATAGCCAAGGCCAGTCTGATCCAGACAGTTCTTCAGTTGGGGGTTCCCTCTTATCATGTGACTCTAGGTTGTCTCCACTAACCTCCCTTCCTCTTCCCAGTCTGTCTTCTATTTTCATGTCAGATACAAAATCTAGACTCTGCATATAAGAGAAAACATCATTTGCCTTTCTATTTCTGGCTTATTTACTTAACACGATCATCTCCAGTTCCATTCATTTTCCTTAAAATGGCATAATTTCATTCTTTATGGCTTAATAAAAAACACTGTATGCATATACTATATATCCTTTATCTATTTGTCTGCTAATGGACACCTAGGCTGGTTCTGCATCTTGGTTATTGTGAACAGGGCCACAGTGAACACAGCTATGCACGGATCTTTATGGAAGACTCATTTAGATTTCTTTAAGATGAACCCAGGAGTGTACACTCTGCATTTGTAAGATCATCATCCATCTACACTTGGTATATTTTCCAAAGATTTTTATAATGAAAAATTAAACAAAAGCTTAAAGATTCTTACAGTGAATATTGATATGCCTCCTAGCTTGATCCTGACATTCCCAATGCTGCTGCCCATCTACCCTGCTCTCTTTGCTCTTCTAATCATCTGCTTAATTTCCTATCTGGGTGCAGTTTAAATGACAGTGAATCACAGTAAAGTGCTTTCAAATACTTCACAAGGCACATTACTAGCTGGAAAACAATACTTACGCATTTTAGTATAAAATATGTATACAAAAACTACACAAAATGAACTTTACAAATCTTAACATAAACACTGAGTTGGACAGGGACATTGTACTAAAAACCCTGTAGAGAAATAGAAAGTCGAAAAAAAAAGACACTCCCCGCCATTGGTTTTGGCCTCCATGTTGGGGGCAGCCTTTGCTGTGCCTTCTCCCTACAGAGATGACTGAAGCTTTCTAGAAGGTACTTGATCACAGTTGCATGGTGCCTGCCTTTCGTGTGGTTTGCTCTCCCTCACCACAGGCTTTCTGGGCTTCCTGTGTGGTTTGCGTTTAGTTCACACCTGATACTGCAGAGGGCCACGGCATGCAGAGAGCACTGGGCTGATGGCTCACTGCAGCATTAGGAATGATACTGTTGTCCTTGTAGACGTCCCCTATCACCAGATGCTTTCCTTTTTCCCGGGCACATGGGTCACAGTAGAATGATGTATCCACAGTGGGGGTCACAGTGGAATGACATGTCCACAGTAGGAGTCACAATGGAATGACATGTCCACAGTGGGGGGTCACAGTGGGGGAATTACATGCCCACAGTGAGGGTCCTGGCTTCACTGCAACTGCTAGAGGCTTCCCAGGGTGATCACAGGGATACGGTCACCAGCAGTACACAAACCATCTTCACCCTCTACTTCCCCTCAGCATCCGTGAGATCAGTTTTTACCATCTTATCCCTCCTAGTAGTTCCTTATGGTTTAATTCACACTTCCTAAATGACTAGTGATATGAAATATTTCTGATGTGTCTATCATTGAATAAATTCTGTTTACATTTCACCACATTTTTAAATTGAACTATTCATATTGTTTGAGTCAGGGTCTTTGAATATTCTGAACCCCTTCTCAGCCATGTGAGGTGAGCCTCACCTGCTCATCGCCTTCGTGTCTTCTGACGAGTGGGGGTGTGAAATTGAGAAGCCTAATGGGGTTTTGTTCATTCTGTGACTGTTGTTTTCTGTCACCTGCTGTCCTAACTTAGGAAGACACTCTGTGCTCCTCTTACTGGCGCACAGCCTCCACTGCCATTTCTTGGGTTTGGCACTGGAGTTGAGAGTAATTTTCCCCAGATGCAGCTCAGTGCATCAGCTCCATTTGCTGGAGAGACTGTCTTTCCCCAGTATATGGTGGGATGTCTCTGCCAGAGTCAATAACAGCATAAGCAGGACCTGTCTTTTGGCTCCCACTCTGCTCCAGCATTCCCCATTTGTTCCCAGAGGCCAGAGCTCTCTGTGCAGCCCAGGCAGGCCTGGGACTCCTGGTCCCCCTGTCCTAACCTCCCAAGTGCTGGGATTCCAAGCAATTAGCCATGATTATTATGGCTTTAATGAGGCCTGGAGACAGGTTTTGTGTGTTTGTCAATGGGGTTTTTCTTTACTAAGACCGCTTTACATATTCTGGGTTAAGGGTCAGCATTATTATTATTGTTGTTATTATTATATTGTGTATGGGTGTTTTGCCCACATGTATATCTGTATCACATACATTCTTGTTGCACATGGAATTCAAAAGAGGGCATCAGATCCTCTGTAACTGGAGTTACAGATTGTTGTGACACATGGGTGCTGAGAATTGAACCCTGGTCCTCTGGAAGAGAAGCCAGTGCTCTTAACCACTAAGCCATCTCTCTAGTGCCAGTGCTCTCATTTTAAAGGACAGACAGTACTTTAGGGTTGTGGCCACAGGGCATCTGTCACAGCCATTCATGCTGCTGTGCATGAGGCAGACAGAGGCCTCAGGCTACCCGTGGAAAGGGCCTGCTCTGCTCTTTTCTGGAAGACTTCGTACAAATTGTTCAACTTTTTTTTTCTTGTGCTGGAGACTGAACCCAGGGCTTTTGCACACCAGCTAAGCTCAGTCCTGCGGGCTTTTTTCTGAAATACTCCACAGAATTCATTAGGAAAATCACCTAGGCCTTCAGTGAATTTACTCTACGAGTTAGTTATAGTGCGTGATAAGGACTTTAGTTTCTGTATCTGATCCAGGGCCATTCATATTCTGTTTGATGTAGTGTTGGCTTTGGTAGAATGAGATTTTAAGGACTCTCTGCATTTCATCTTAGTTGCACATTTGGTTCAAAGTTCATAACGTTCTCCTACCCTCATAAGGCCACAAGATTGACTGACGCTTCTCCAGCCCCATGGTCTTAAAATGTATTTCTCTCTCTCCTTTTCCTGGTCTTATGAAGCTTTCATTGTAAATACCACAGAGAAATCTGACTTTTGTTTTATATATAAATGTGTGTGTGTGTGTGTGTGTGTGTGTGTGTGTGTGTAATTTCATATACTTAAAAAAATAAGAAAATTACTCTTAGCAACATTCTGCTACACCCACAGATCAGTGCTTACTCAGCCATCACCAGAAAAGCTTCCTCCTACAATTATTGGGAACTAATAACAGAGACCCACAACTGGATAGCGTGCAGAGAATGAGAGACTTTGGAGCACTCAGTCCTAAATGGGGTGTTTCCATCAGACCCCACCCCTCAGGGCTCTGGGAGCTGTGTGGAAGAGAGGGAAAGACTGTAAGAGCCAGAGGGGATGGCGGGCACCAAGGAAACGAGGCCCTCTAAATCAATGCGATCGATGGACATATGAACACACACGGACTGCGGCAGCATGCACAGGTCTAAGCCAGATGGGGTTCGAGAACTGAGAGGAGAAGTGGACATGTCTGGGTCAGGGAAGTTCCTATCCCTGACCCAGAAACGGGAAAATTCCGTTTCTCCACTGGCATCTCGCTGCTATACAAACCACACTTAAGGACGGCCCCGCACCCAGCAGTAGATGGACAACACAACAAACTCAACGGCGTATCTGTAGGCTTTTTGTCTCATATTGCTTTGCTGGGCTTTTTTTTTTTTTTTTAAACTGGTCTTTTGCTTGTATATCATGGTTTCTGATTTTGTGTTCTGATACGGGTTTTTTTTTATGTGTATGGGTTTTTTTATTTCTTTTTTTTTTTTTTTTTTTTTTTGTCTGCTTTGTTTTGTAAAGAGAAGGAAAGAAGGTGTGGGGTCGGGAGGTGGGGAGGCTCTGGGAGGAGATGGGGAAGGAAAACATGATCAGAATATATTGTCTATAAAACACATTTTCAATAGAAAAAGGAAAAGAAAGACCTAGCTTTAGCCTTCTCCTTTTATGTTCCTTTTCTGAAAACTTGCTCTCCTGGTTCGCATTTACCTCTGGCCTGAAGAGTGGGTGCTGCTGATCCCAGCTTCCTCAGGCTAAGAGCAGCTCTATTTTGCTTTTATTCTTGGAGGTTTTGTTCTCAACACTTCTCTTTCCAGCCTGTTGCGGACGGGCCTCCACCGCATCTTCCTGATGACAGCTGCTGTGGGCCTTCTCCTCTGCTGCATTTGGGGTCCTCACAGCCTCGTTTACAGGAGTCTGCTGCCGCTCTCCTCTTACTGGTTCTTGCGGTTCTCTGGCATCTTGGGTTCTTCTCTCAGCTCTGAAGGTCGGTGCTCCCATCCACCTGCCTCCCAACCTGCTTGTTCCCCATTATTTTTCTACATGTGTTAAACACCCATTCACTGGACTCTTCACCTCAGAGGCCATACTGTCAGACATAGAGCCTTTATTGTTATTTTTAGAAGTTTCTGGTTCTATGATGAAACCTTTGACATTTTTTGTTCACTTATGAATACAGTTCCTTGTGTATGGTGATAACTGCTGGAAAACCCTTGCCTGTGATTTTCAACTTCTGAGTCATCTCAGGAATGGTAATAGTTGGCTGCCTTTCTTTTAAAACATGAGTTATATTTTCCCAAATTTTTTGTATTGCAAAGACTTTTATAATTGCAGGCATATGGTGTTATTATCATATGAATTCTGTCATATTAGTCTAAAAAGTACCATTTTCTTTCCAAAGCAAGCACTGACCCTGAATGGGCTCTAGTGTGAGCTGCTCTGCTGGGCTCCAGTGTGAGCCCTCTGCAGGGCTGTAGTGTAAATGCTCTGCTGGGCTCCAGTGTGAGCACTCTGCTGGGCTCCAGTGTGAGCTGCTCTGCTGGGCTCCAGTGTGAGCTGCTCTGCTGGGTTCCAGTGTGAGCTGCTCTGCTGGGTTCCAGTGTGAGGTGCTCTGCTGGGCTCCAGTGTGAGGTGCTCTGCTGGGCTCCCGTGTGAGGTGCTCTGCTGGGCTCCAGTGTGAGGTGCTCTGCTGGGCTCCAGTGTGAGGTGCTCTGCTGGGCTCCAGTGTGAGGTGCTCTGCTGGGCTCCAGTGTGAGGTGCTCTGCTGGGCTCCAGTGTGAGGTGCTCTGCTGGGCTCCAGTGTGAGGTGCTCTGCTGGGCTCCAGTGGGAAGCAGCTTATTCTCAGTCTAGTTCATATATACTTGGCTAAGATTTCTCCCTTGTCAATGACTCTGGGCTCAGCATGGTAGCTCACAGCCACACAAGTGGCTGCCCCTCACTGGCATTTACCCCCTGTCTGCTGCCTGCTTGGATGCCAATTGTCTTGTTTCTGGGATCAAATGTCTGACAAAAGCAACTGAATTAAGAGAGGGAGGATCTATTCTGGTACAATCCATGGTGGGACTCAGGTGACAGGAACATGCGACCACCAGTCACGTGGCATCTGCAGTCAGGAGACAGGGTGGACAGGAAGTGGGGACAGACTGCCAAACCTCAAAGCCCACTTCCCAGTTACCACTTCCTCCAGTGAGGCTCCACCTCCTAAAAGTTCCCACTGCCTTCTAAGACAGCAGCACCAGTTTGGGGACTAGGTGTTCAGACACATGAGCCTATGGGACACAGAGTTCCTATTCAGACCACGATGGCTTCAGGTTTACTCTCACTGTATAGGAGCTGAGGAAGACAGTGTTCCAGAGTGTCATGGAAGCTCCTAGTCCATCTCTGTTAATACTGCTGCCAGCCTCAGGCAACATCCGAAAGGTCTCAAACGCAGGAAAACTATCAGGGCTCTGAAGAGCTTGGTAGATCATCCTACAGGCCTACACCCACAGCCAGTGCTCCATCAGAAGACTGGGGGCCGCTCAGACTTGAGCTCGGGGCCTGACTCTGACCTCAGATTACTGCAGTGATTAAAACAGCCTCTCCAGCACCGTGACAGGGACCCTGTCCTGCTCAGTGTCCATAGCCAAGCCTGGTTCAAGGCTGAGCAAAAATCGACATTATGCAGGGCAGCCCAGGGAGCTGTGTATAAGACGACAGGTCCTGTCTGTGTCTGAATGGGAACAGGTGATACTGAAGGAATGCTGGGGCTTTTCTATGATGCTAGGGTTTCACAGGAAATCTTTTTATTTCAAGAAATATCTAGGGCAATACATTTGCATTTTGAAAATGATTCTTCACACTAAAGAACTTTTGTTTCTCAATGAGAAGCCATTCTCCTGTTCTCAGATTCACTGTCCTGAGATATTGTAATTGATGGATGTGTCTGACTGCTGAGGAACAGAATATTTCTCTATTCCCATCTTCACATTTTTCTTTCTTCTGCTGTACTCCTAAGGTCAGTGAGACAGAAGAATAAATACCTAGTAGGCCAAATGGAAGTTGTAGAAGAGGAAATAAAAGTCTACCTCAGTTTCCAAAGGGATAGCAGCATTTGGGAGGATAGTAATGGAGGCTTTGTGCTTGGCTTCCTTTTTACCCTCAACAGTGTGTGAGTACGCGACTTCCTAGCCCTAGACGGCCTTCCAGCATCTGACTTTGAGAGCCTTTTTCCAAAGCCACATTTAAATTCTATGTCCATGGTTCAGGCAGCTGGGGGCCCTGGGCAACTCAGCAAACCATACTGAGCCTCAGCTGGATGCTTGGGCGCAAGAGCAACACTACCTTGGGGTGCAGCCACACTAAGCAGGTTCAGGCACCTTAGTCTAGAGAGAAGAAGGCTTCAAAGGGGCCGTTTATCTCTTCTTTAGCCAGAAAGAGGAGAAGAGCATTAGCTGGTCACAGCAGGCACCGCCCAGCCAGCGACTCCTGAGTTGCCGGTCACTGCGGCTGCTCACCAGAGCCCAGGGAGATCAGTGTCGAGTGTTACCACTCCAGGCCAAGCAAGAGGACGAGCCCCACACTTCTCTCCCTCTTTACAACACTTCCAACTATAATTCTATGTCTTTTAAAGGCAGCCACTCTACATCCAAGACCACTGTAGTTCAAAGTCCCTATTCACTGTAAACCTTTTTATCTCTAGGGCTCAAAACTCAACATTGAACCAAAGCAAGAGGAATCAGGCAGGAAGAAGAATACAAAAATATGAAAAAAAAAATTACACAGTAGCCATGCTGGATTGAAACTCAGCACTCTGAGCACACACATACACCCCTTGCTGTGCTCAGTGTCTCCCACCTGTAGCCTCCTTTGGAAATGGTGATCTTTCTTACCAGCAGTCAGGCTCGTTCAAGCATGGCCCAGAACCTTCCCCAGCCACAGCTACTCATTGTGAATATACAGTACTGCTGTGGGGTAGGGGGAGGACAGTGCAGGTCAGTGAATATTCTGAGTGACCGTTCCAGGAACTGTACTGGGGAAAGTGGACAAGCCAGTCCTCATCTCAGTGGGCTTCCCGGTCCCACAGGAGACAGATATTGCTAATCAAACCCTTAGAGTAACCAGCACAACACTGTGAGTGGGGATGGTTGAAAGGGCAGACGCAGGTCTGAGAGAAGAAGACAGGGAGGAAATCCACACAGAAAAAGTACTCACATCTAATGCAATCTTCTCTGTAACAACCCCTTAGATTTCCGGAGTTCTCTACCAGGCTGTGGTATTGGGAGCATCGCCACAGAAGAAAAGATGGCATCTAGTGGAGAGTGTCACCTGGTCTCTCCTCCTCAGCCCCGTGGAGGAAGGTGACCTCCAACCTTGAAAGGAGAATCAGCAGCAAAGGCCGCAGTTCAGCCTCCCTAGTCTAGACCATGGGCCAGGCCCCAGTGGCAGGATGTGTCTGCCTGCATCTGGCTTGGGCAGAGGCACCACTGTTGCTTGGTCTACCTGTGAGGCAGGAGGTGGGGGAAGCCGGGATGCCAGGCCTGACAGTGCTGGTGCCGTACACCGGAGCCAGCAGAAGTGGGGGGCTTTGCCCATCTCTAAAAGCAGTCCTCTTCCTTAGGTCTGCCTGGAAATGGAGTCTGACCTCACAGTGTTCCTAAGTTAGCAGGGAGTACATAAATTAAGAAAGGACCAGCTGTGATTCAAACGTCGTCTTCACTGTCCAGCAGTTTTTAACGAAGTGACAGGACCCTAAATCAGTTCTGCCTGGCACTGCTTATTAGCTGCAAATTGTCCTGCATCTGTCTGTCAGAAGCAGGAAGGACATCTCATTGCTTCTAACGCCTCAAGTCCTAATATGTAGTGGGCATCAAAGGGTTTCCCATGCTCGCCTTAGAGTGGAGCTCACAGTGTGGCTGTTCACTCAGGTCCCATCACTGCCTGTCTGCTCTGCTCTGTCCACCCTGGCGAGTGTCCAGGAGATCACTGTACTTTCATGGCATTCACAAGGGGACAAGTAGGTAGGAAGAGGCTGGAGAAACACATGAAGTAGCTATGAAGAATGTGCTACCACTGTGTCATGCTAACTGCGCACTCAGGAGAAGGTGTGGTTCTCAGTCCCAGCCTCCAGTGGATGGTGCTTTCTCCCTCACTTGTCTATTTGCTCGGCCTCTCTCCAGGGCCTTCCTGCCCACTTGCATTACTGACTTCTGGCTCCCTGTGCTGTGTACTGCTGACCCTGGCTGAGATGGAGGGGAGGGGCAGGCATCCTCTGCTTCAGCAAGCTTAACCCACGTGTGGGTTCCTGCCTTCATCACATGCAAAAGACTTCTAGAAAAGGCCATGCCATGTAGGGTGGAGTGTAGGGGACCCTGTGACAGCAGCAGCAGAAATCAAACAGCAAACTCAGGCTCCCTGGAATACCTTCCCCCTGCCTCAGCGGCTGCTCCAGTCAGCAGCTCACACAGCCTCAAGTACTCACTTTCTTCTCCGGTTCTCTGAAAACCCAGATTGGAGAGTCAGGAACCTAAAAGCAGTTTCTGGTACATTCCACTCATTCCTGCAGCTGGATTTACTCAGGGCTCTGGTTCCTAGTATGGCATCTCCTTTGAAGAGACCTTCAGATCGGAACCAGCCTGGACAGGTCAGCTCCTAGATGTGGCCACAAGCCAGTTCCCACAGACACTATGCGAGCAACACCTCCACCCCACATACCTGGGAGCTCCTCTTTGATTTTTGTTTATGTTGTTGAGACAGGGCTTCACTTAGCCTAGACTGGCCTTGAATTCCTCATGCTCTGCTTCAGTCTCCAGGTGTTTAGACTGTAAGCATGGACCACCACACCTGGCCTTGGTGCTGACAAGAAGGGGTCTCAGAAGGTTGAGTGAGGTTATGACCCCCACAACAGCCTCTTCCTCCCTGCCAGGCACCAGGGAGGACCTGCCTATGCTGCCCCCTTTCCCCTTGGCCTTCAGGGCCCAGCTCACATGTCTGCTGAAGTCCCTCTAACCGTTACCTTGGCCTTGATTAGACAAAGGGAACATGGCCTTGTTCAGCCTCACACAGCAAGCCCCAGGTGATGGCAACTCCTGTGTCCATCTCATGCCACACACTGAGTGCTGAGCCATTGCAAGACAGGAACCGGGGCCCTCCAGCCTCAGCCCTAGCACAGGCCACAAGCTCACAGAACATTTCCAAAGCAGCATGACCGATAGTCAGGTACAAATGCCAAAAGGTACCAACCCATGTGTTCTCAATGGTGTTCTGGCAAGGATTTTGGTGAAAAGAAACACTGGTCTCACAAAGTAACCCTTACCAGTGCAAATTGATTGGGGTGCTATGGTTACCCTTGGGCAGTTGTGCCCAAAATACCTGTGAGAAAATCTTAAGAGGAAACTGATCCTGGCTCATAGCTTCCAAAGGTTCAGTCTGTGACTGCTTTCCCACACACTTGGGACACAGTTGGAGAAAGTTTCTTTGACTCTTAAAGACAGGAAGTGGAGAGTAAGGGGGACCTGGTGATCACCTACAGCCTTCAAGTTTCCTCCAGTGACACCCACCTCCTAAAGCTTCCAAAGTTTCATGAAACAATGGAACAAGTGTTCACCACATGAGCCTGTTGTGGGCAGTGCATAGTCAAACCACGGGAAGGTAACAAAACGCCAGATACAGATATCTAGAAAGAGCTCTATAAACCCCTAAAGACCCATAATAACTTGGATGGGGCTCAAGACCTAGCAAGGACACAGTAGCCTAGCCTTGGTACCTGCTGAATAGGTACCAGCAGTCATGTGACTTGGCCTGTCAATTTATCAGCAGGTCTCACCTGTAATCTGAACATGGGTAATGACACTAATCATGGCACCTTTCCCTCATTCCTTGCTTTATTCAGTAATTTTTAAACAACGTAATAAGCAACCCTTGATACACAACTACTAGGCTCTTGGGAACAGCATGCACTATTAGTCCCTCTGGCTGAGCCCATCCCCTGCCCGTACAGCCTAAAGTAGGGACCTGGACTAACTTCAGAATCCTCACTTCCAGGCTGTACTTTCTATACAGGGTCATGGTATCTGTCTGCATTTCGAAAGGTATCTATCTACTTTTGTGTATGTCTCTACTAAAAGATGCAGTTGACCTGGGGCACTTCATTTTCACATCTTTTGAAAGCTGTCTGCTGCTCTGCTTTGGTTAAAAGTGTTTCCAGCACCTGGGACATTGTTTATAGATCTGCTCTGTAGCCTTTGAACACACCTAGGAAATGCCTTCTAAGCAGTTATCTGTCCTCCTACAGCTCAAGGATTCAGCAATGAACCTGCATCACCTCCCATGCTTGGTATCATCAGCTGTTAATGCCCATCTCCTTCTAGGAGTGTTGCAGCCATGCGGCATGTGTGAACCAGCACAGCTCAGTCAGTGCCTGAGATAAAATGTGCTTGATTACAAAAGAACTCATACTACAGGAACCCAGAAAATCAGGAAGAGGGGAGCCTGACAGCAGTCACCTCCCAAGGCCTGGCATTTCTTTACAATGGAGGAATACATTCCCCTTAGCTGGGCAGTCTACACCTGTTTAGTCACAGTCTGTGGGAGCCCTCCTTCCACCCAGCCACGGTTATACCCAGCCACCAGTGTTCCCAGAGTCCCCAGACTGCCACAGCTCTAGTCCAGGTGCCCAGAGAGCAACTTCTACATAACAAGCCTGGCTCCTTTTCAGAGTTACAGTGAAGATGTCTAGAAGTCTGGGCATCTCCCTCTAGGGAAGCCGGCCTCTTCTGATCTAGGGTAGGAGTTCCCACCAAGCACTGAACAAAGCCATTCTTTTACTTTAAAACCTATGTTAGGAATCTTCAGTTCAGCAGCAGAGTGCCATCAAGGACAGAGGTGGGCACCAGGGCTGCCCGTGCAGAACTGCACCAAGGCATATAGATGTAGTTTCCAGGGGCCACCATGAGAGAGAAAAAACCATGACTATATGCCAGTGTGGACAGTCCTGCATGCAGCATTTTCTTGTTGGAGAATATCATTTTAAGGTGTTACTTTTGTTTATGTTGCATTTGTTTAACTCTGTGAAGCTGTGTTACTGTGCCTGTCTAAAACACCTGATGGTCTAATAAAGAACTGGACAGCCAATAGTGAGGTAAGAGAAAGGATAGGTGGGGCTGGCAGGCAGAGAGAATGTATAGAAGGAGAAATCTGAGAGGAGAGGAAATCTAGGAGCCAGAGAAGGAATGAGAGAGAAGGAGGAGGACATCAGGAGCCAGCCACCCAGCTACACAGCAAGCCACAGAGTAAGAGTAAGATTTACAGAAGTAAGAGAATGGGAAAAGCCCAGAGGCAAAACTTAGATGGGATAATTTAAAGTTAAGGAAAGCTGGCAAGAAACAAGCCAAGCTAAGGCTGGACATTTATGATTAAGAATAAGCCTTTGTGTGTGATTTATTTGGGAGCTGGGTGGCGGGGCCCTCCAAAAGAGTAAAAAAAAAAATTTTCTGGTGATCTAATTTCAAATTCTTGCCACCTTTCTATGGGTCAAGTTCTACCCAGTTAAGAAAAGGAAAGCTGTCTTGGGCATCACCATCCTCTGGAGAGATGCACACATGCCGTTTATAAAGCAAAATCAGTGCCATCATTAGGCACCATGGAGGGTGTGAGTGCTGCTGTGGACTCCACAGATCAGCTCACCCCGTGGAAGCCATGGAGATTTTCACTCTGAAGTTTGCTAGACCATCACAGGGTAGAAAGAAGGATGAGTAGACAGGACGGCATCTCCCTCACACTTAGTCCTTCACATACTGAAGAAGCACGGGCCCTGAGGAGAGGACACTGGGCAGAGCTTCAGAAAGCCTCACTGGAGAGCATCTCTGAGGGCTCTGAAGGTGGAGACTGTGTGCCCAGCATGACTAGGACATCAGGGTGGACAAGGATGCCATGACAGGGCAGAAGAGCTGCCCAAGTGGCAGGCTGGGTCCCACTACACAGGGGTGGGAAGGCAGACAGGAACCCAGAGTCCATCAGAACCCGGGCAGCAGTTAGCTGTGTGGGAGAGCAGGGAAACTGTGACAAATATAGCCCTGACAGGCCGCCCTGACAGGAGGGTGGCAAAAGCACATGGGAGAGGGACTGGACAGGGAATCAGGAGATGACCTGGGCTGGGATACAGATGACAGTGGAGTGACCTGCACTGGATGGATTGAAAGTGCATCTGAAGTGTGCTTTCACTGAAGGCTAGTGCAAATCTACCACATACTACACCACACATATGCACGCACACACATACCACACATACAACCACATACACACAGGACTCACACATACACACCACACATACACAAACACACACACACACAGAGGACTCACACAGAGGACTCACACACACACAGGACTCACACATACACACCACACATACACAAACACACACAGAGGACTCACACACCACACATACACACACAGGACTCACACCACACACACACACACACACACACACACACATACAGAGGACTCACACACACACATACAACCCCACACACAGGACACACACACACACCACACATACACACACACATTCAGAGGACTCACACACACACATACAACCCCACACACAGGACACACACACACACCACACATACACACAGAGGACTCACACACACATACAGAGAACTCACACACACAGAGGACTCATACACATACACCACACACACACACACACACACACACACACACACACAGAGGACTCACTACCCAAACTAGCACACTGCAGCAGCACTGCAGGTAACCGAGTATCACAGGCAGCAGCACCGCAGGGTAACCGAGTATCACAGGCAGCAGCACCGCAGGGTAACTGAGTATCACAGGCAGCAGCACTGCAGATAACCGAGTATCACAGGCAGCAGCACCGCAGGTAACTGAGTATCACAAGCAGCAGCACCGCAGGGTAACTGAGTATCACAGGCAGCAGCACTGCAGGGTAACCGAGTATCTCAGGCAGCTGCACCGCAGGGTAACCAAGTATCACAGGCAGCAGCACCGCAGGTAACCGAGTATCACAGGCAGCAGCACCACAGGTAACCAAGTATCACAGGCAGCTGTACCGCAGGGTAACCGAGTATCACAGGCAGCAGCACCGCAGGGTAACCGAGTATCACAGGCAGCAGCACCGCAGGGTAACCAAGTATCACAGGCAGCAGCACCGCAGGGTAACTGAGTATCACAGGCAGCAGCAATGTGTCATGACTCTGGGTGCTGCTGTGTTCTGGGTCTTAGAGGCGGTTGCTCGTGGAACTGAAGCTGTAAATGCACCCCTCTCCTCTTCCACCCCGCCCCCGTCTAACCTGAAGTCTATTCCACCTGGGGTTCTGGTTTCAGCCTAACAGTCTGGCTTTTTTCATGGGCAGAATGTGGTATATGACAGGATCTCTTTATTTTTTAAGGGTGGATATTATTTCACTGAATGTACATACCACATTTTCTTACATCTTCACCCCTAGAAGGACCCTTAGGTACCTCCCACCTCTTGGGTATGGGAACAGTGCTACAATGAACATGGTGCGCACATGTTTCTTTCAGGGGTGTCTCCAATTCTTACAATGTAACACCTAGAAGTAGGATTGTTGTGTTCCATGTTATTGTATGTTTAGTCTTCCGAGGGACCCCTGCACTGTTTCCCTTGGTAGTTACACTGTTTCACTCTCCAGTAAACACCACATAGGGCTCTAGCTTCTCATCCAGGTCCTCACCATTTGTTACTTTTGCATGTTTCCAATGTGTAAGGTGGCTTCCCACAGACACTTGATTTATGTCGCTCTAGCAGTGCCGGGCATCTTTTAATGTTTGCTGACTGTTTGTGTTTCTCGGGAGAAATGTGATTCAAACTTCTGCCCATTTTACACTGGATTGTAGCTTTCTGGTTTATTCTGCATCTTCTGCCCTTTTCCCTGCAGCTATTCCAAGTCCTACATGTCCTCTCTAGATTTTGTTTCTATTCTTTGTTTTCTTGTAATTTTATGACTTTGGGTCTTAAGTCAGGTCCCTAACCGTCTGGAGTGAGTTTCTCTAAGGTACCAGGAAGGGCTCAATGCATTCTTTTGCAAGTGATACTTGGGGTTCTATGTCTTTCCATTTACTCGTGGCTTCCTTAATTCCTTTCAATAATGTTTGCAGTGCGTGATGTGTGGATCTTTTCTCAGTTCCATTCAGCCTAGCTGCTTTGATGTGACTGTAACTAGATGGTCATGATCTCCCCTCAGACAGTTTGTCAAGAGCATACAGAAACTGGACCCTGGGGTGACAGCTCAGAACCCTGCAACCTGGTTGAATCCGTGTTATATCTGCGTTACCTGGGACTTTAGGGGATCAATCTTTCAAGTTTCCCTTCCTGCTTTCATGTCCTCCCTGGCCTGACTGTCCTGATGGGAACAGTGGCAGGAGACGGCATCCCCTTCTGCTGACTCCAGCAGGCGTGCTGGAGGGTGATGTTAGCTGAGGATGTAACAATGGTGAGGGCCTCTCTGTTCTTCTTTCATACTTTCATCACTGAGGGTGTCACAAAGCATCTTTTCCACATCAGCTGGGCTGAGAGTGTGTCTCTGCCCTCCTGTTAATGTGCATTATATAAATTTTCGGGTTCTGAACCATTCTTGCCTTCTGAAAACCAGCCCCATGATTTGGTCAGGGCATGGCATCCTTTCCATGGATGTTGAATTGGTTCTGGTGTTTTCTGAGGCACCTGTAGTCACAGTAAGGACATCTGTGTTGTTTTGGTGTCAGGATAAGTCTGACCATGTAAATGTATCTGAACTGACTCTTTCCTTACAGTTGCTGAGAGCTGCTTTTGCTCCTCTGTATGAGGTGGCGATGACCAACAATGAAATTGTCTGGCCTTGGACTTGCCCCTTCATGAAGAGTTAGGTACCGATTCGGTCTCCTAACTATAGATCTGCCCAGATGTTTTATTTCTACCAAAATTCCATGGCAGCTTGTTCAAACTTGAACTTTATAGGGAGATCCCACATTTACTTATGGGTCAGAAAGCAGGAAGGGAATAATCGCAGGTGACTGTGGGTCATACCTGGGCTGCAAAGAGGGTGCCCAAAGAAACTCAAATAGAGCTTAAGCTTTAATCTGTTTGTGCAGAGAGTGCATACAAATGGTACCAGAGGAAGTTAGTTTACGCTGTTTGTGCAGAGAATAGATACAAAGGATGGCTGAGAGGAAGTTAGCTCGGATTGTTTGTATGGAGATTAGAGACGAATGGTGAGGAAGTAAGTTAGCTCAAGTTATTTATGCTAAAATAAGATGCTAAACACAGGAAATGATGTCAGGGTATAGACAACTTGTAAACAGGGTGACCTTTAAAATGATTGGATGGTTCCTTCATCCCCTCCCAGGGTTCTGAGGTTTTCTGGTATAAAAGAGGCTTACTGCCTATCAATAAAGGAGTTCTTGCTTGACTTGACTCCCCGCTGCGTCTGATTGTCTCCGGGTAAGAGGGAGGCTGGGGAACCTGCGAGCAGGCGTGCACTTGCCTTTCCTCAGTTCCAGGCCACCTCTTCACAGATGACCTAAGTTCCCGGTGGGGCAGGTCCCCACAGGTGATGATCATTTTGTCTTCAGCCACCGTTTTGTGACAGTACAGGAACTAAGATAAGGCCCGGAGCAGACTGGGGACTCTGCATATTTCAGACTGGGGATCCGTAGACGGCAGCGTGTTCTGTGTCTGCCCTCTAGACAGGACATGGCCCCACCATGTTGAAATCAGAGCAGCTGTGACTGTCTGCAGACAACCTTCACAAGAAACCTTCCCTCCTGAGGGAAGAGGGTGTCATCTGCCCCTCACCTGAGATTCCTGCCACCACTCCAACTGGTCCCCAAATGCATATGGTCTGGGATGCTAGTATATACAGGAGGTAGAAGGTCAGCTGGAGTGGGGACACCAGGGATGCAGCTTTCATGAGCTGTCATCCATGTTGGGATGGATCCTTGGTGATGTAGCTGTCAGAGAGACACCTGTGCCCCTTAGGTGACCCAAAAGAATCACTAGTTCCCACATGTACTTGCATGTTCTGTTGTATCCTGTCGGCATGTAGAGATAGACATGTTAACATGGCACTAGGAAGTCTCCGCAGCATGCCCAGACAGAGGTGTTCATAGCTCTGGTGAGATGGAGGAGCTGAGGTGCAGTGGTGGAGGCAGGGGGCAGGGTGGGACAGAGAGGAGGACATGGCAGCTGAGGCATGCATCTTGTTGGACAGGGGCACTGGGGCAAGAATGGAAAATAAAAGCACAGCATCTGCTAGGACCAGATATGGTGCTGGGCTCCCAAACCTGTGCTTTATTCTTTGTGCAGTGAAATTGCAGGAAGGTTTCTGTATTTTCTTTTGGATGGTGAAAGTTTTTTGTGGTTATTTATTTCTAACTTAAAAAGTAACATATGGCCACTGTAAAAAACACATACAAACATGCACAATAACCTCGAACTGATGAAAAGAGTAATAAACACAGGAAACATTCCAGTCCTACTCTCCAGGTACAGGACGGCCCATCTTCTTGTGTGTGTATTGCACATGCACACTTCATTCATTATAATTCTGTACTCTACTTCCTGTCTAGTATTCTCTTCTCCAGCTGCACAACTTTGCAAATTAGAACTGATTTTGCAGAGGGAAAGTCGCATGCTTCAACCCTTCTTACTGTCTTCATGAAACTGCAGGAACGTCTCACCAGGACTCCCTGCAGGACTCCTGAGCATCTCACATACACACTACTAACAGGATCACTCATGCCTGAGGAAGCCTGACAGGGGATCTAAGCTACTGAGGGCAGCCCAACAACTGAGCAAGGAGCTACAGTGTGCTGGAGACACAGGGCTCCATTGTTCACTGACACAGGAACGCAGGAACTGCCACCCCCGCCCATTCCCTGCCCTGAATGGAGTGCTGAGTTTAAACTCAAAAGACATTATTTAGTTGAAAATGTGGGGGAAGCAGCATGCTTCAGCCTTTAGCCTCACATAGTGCCCCTCGGGCAAGGTGGGGCCTGGTGGGGAGACACTTGTGAGGGTCAAAGGTGGGTTTCTTACTTTGTCGTTTTAGCCAGGCACCTGAAGTGACATGGATGTTTTCACATGGGCTAAGCTTCACTGATGTCTGGTTTGGTTTGAGATGACCACACCTGGTCACTATAAAGAAAAGGGCACACTGAATTGTACCTCCCCATGCCTGTGTGGAAGATTCAAGCAGCAGATGCCTGTCCAGGCACCTCTATGCATTTATTTTAGCTCCAGGCTGTGGCCTTAGTTTGAAATTTAGACTGACATTCTGAATTTGCCCAAGAAAGGCTTTACCTCCTGAGTGAACTTCCTCAGCTCTGGAGGCTGTCCCAGACAAAACACTGCCACTGTGGACAGTTCCTATTCGAGAGACCAATTGTCACAAAGACTGACAAGAAGCCCAGGACCTGAGGAAGGGGAGGGTGGCTTGAGGGGTCTCCAAAATCATTATATGTTCAGGATGCCTCAGAAGCATAGTTCTCACTAGGGTCCTCTGGAGCTCCCAGTGCAGGCTACTCCCTGCTCATACATTCTTGCCATACCTGTGCTGTGGGATGTCTTTCTGTGTACTGTGAATATGTGTGGCTCCCATTGGATAATAAATAAAGCTGTTTTGGCCTACAGCAAGAAAGCTTACAGCCAGGTGGGAAATCCAAGCAGATACAGAGGGAAGAAAGTCAGAAGCGGCAGAGATGCCAGCAGCCACCAAAGGAGCAACAAGATGCCAGCAGACCAGTAATGCCACGGCCACGTGGCAACATATAGATTAATAGGAATGGGTTAACTTAAGATGAAAGAGCTAGCTAATATATGCTAAAGCCATAGGCCATACAGTTGGTAATTAATATAAGCCTCTGAGTGATTATTTTGTAAGCGGCTGCGGGATCTCAGGGCTGGGCAGGACACAGGAAAACTTCCAGCTACACACCTGTATTTTCATTTGTACACTCACTGGAATTTTAGTCTCTTTTTTATCACTCTGCTGCTGCCCATAGTGCAGGTCGGTCAGTAGGCTGCCTGCCCTGGTCACCACTGCCCCAGTATCTGGCAAAAATTAGAGACTTGTACAGAGCAGTTGCTCCAGTCCTGGGGTGGGGGAATAAAGATTAGAGCACAATGGCTTCACGTTCACAGGGGACCAGCCTTGTGATGGACTCGGACCTCTGAGTCCTCTGACACTGTTAGAAGTGGGTCCTGCCTGGTCTGGCGTGCTTACTGCCCCTTCTCATTTCCTCTGCTGGTCAGCTCTTCCCTTTACTTCTCACTTCAAGCATGAAATCCCGAGGGCCAGGGAGCAGCCCAGTCACCCTGCACGCGTGCTGTGCTGTCTGCAGATGTGGCTTTGTCTCTCTTTCGTCTGACCTAGCTTCCAGGCATTTATGATTTAAACCTCAGAGGGCATCCATACTTGCATATCTTTGTGGTTCACTACAGGGTCGACCCCTATGACCCCCACAGCATGACCCAAGGCCAGGCCAGCCTGGGACACACAGTGACCACAGTGTGCATATGGGTGATGCCTGTTCATCCTTCATAGAAACAGAAGCTAGAAAATGACATTTGGCTATTTTCTCAAAATATGATATTAATTTGAAGAATATAATAATGAAGAACAGAATAGGCCTGGCCTCAAAGTCTATCTGGGTGAAGGCTGGATTGATTGATCCTGGCTCTGACACCAGCAAGTCCCATTTCACTAATGTCACGGATTTCGGTTGGAAAGGAGATCTAAACCAGGTGGCCATTCTGTCCCCTAATAGCTCTGGTGTGACACTGTCCTGTGGTTATACTGTTTCTCATGTAAGATCCCCTCTGTAAGTGTATAGGCACCCCAACAAGCACCCACACTTGGAGCCAGGCAGAGTGCCCAGGAGAGCACAGAGACACCCTGGCCTCTGTGGTGCCAGGCCATTTAGACCAAAGCAGAGGTTCTGCCCAGACCCAACGCTGACTGCCATGGATAAGTCCTTGCCACTGAGTCTCTGGACAGCTGGTGCTGGGTGCACTGCCCAGGACTGTCTTCATCAGAGAAGCTGGGGCGACCCAGTAGACTGTCAAAGGATGAGGCCTGCTGATGCTCCCTCATGGAGAGGAGGCCAGTGGTCCCTCTCCAGAAACTCCAGCCATTCACCCTCTCCTCAGTCAGCTGTAAGAAATCCTGCCCCCACTGCACATGGCCTTGGGAGGCACCAGCAATCTGACAGTCACTGGGAGTATCTGTCACTTTCCTGGGATACATGTGGTGTATGGACCACAGGTTTTACATGCCCATCTGGAGTGGCTAGGATGCGGAAGACAGCTGAAGTGGGATGTTTTGGTAATGCAGGTGTTCAGGGATCAGTCATGCTTTTGTAAGTAGCCCCTTGCCCATGTTCTGTAGGGCAGCCCTGTAAACTCCTTTAATTACCAATTTGGACTTGGGTGGAATACATCTGTTGGTGATGCCCTATCTAGACTGAGTAGATTTTTTTTCACGAGAAATGAAACATTTGGCCATCACTGCCTGAGGACCTGGGTGATTACAAATATACTTTGGTAGTTTCTTTTTGAAGGAAGTGTTTGGAGGAAACCATTTTCCACACAGCATCGTAGTAAAACACCACCAGAAGCACATTCCCCTCACCCTGTTTGTAGAGAGCTGCCTCTGTCCCCAGCCCTGATATCTGGGAGGCCAACTCTCTCCACTTCAGCCCTCCAGCGTGCAGATCTGTACACTTCTGTTGGTCAGCGACACATAGAGCCTCTGTTCAGTCAGCTGTCATGTTACCTTCACAGACAGCCATGCTTACAGTCAGTGCCACATCCTGCTTGGGATTTTAATGAAAGAGCAGAGACTGCCCTCCAGGGGGCGTGCGTGCTGGACACGTGACTGTCTGCTGCAGTGATTGTGCTGATCAAACATGCATGGGATTCCCACAAGGTCTCTTTCACTAGTCCCTGCCCTCAGGACCCAAACTGGAACAAAGATGGACTAGGCACAGCCTCCTACCTGGAGTAGTAAGACTCCACCCCCAGGGCCTCCCGGACGCTGGCAATGTGCTGCTCCAGTGCAGAGCTGGTTGCTATGGGCAGAGTCGCACTGCTGCTGGCTTGGAAGTCACTGGAACCTTCCACTGAGTTATCACCCAGGTAATGTTCGTGAAACTTCAGGATTCCTGCAACAAGGTAATTATGGTAACGTCATGGATGGTTGGGTAGCAGGAGAGATCGGGAGAAGGTAGGAGAGGGGAACTCGGGTGCTGTGGGACTTCTTTACCAAGCATGCTGGGGTCCCGTGGTTTTAGGCTTTCTAAACTGGGGCAGTGTTTGCTCACAGCCCACACTATGAAGACACAGGCTAGCTTCTGCTGATGCATGCAGAAGCCCTGAGTTCGGACAGCTTTCTATGCACTTCCAGAATGATGCTC